ACGTATCTGTTTTCAAAGGCTGGGTTTTTTCCCCTTCGCTTTCTCTCAGCGCACATCAGGAAAGAGAGGACCACGGGAAAAAAGGCCCCAGATGGTCATTGGTCCTGGAAGGAAATGGTTAAGGGATAACTTACCTGTTGACATTAAGCAATGCCCCCCCTTCCCAGCCCCCCACCCAAGTGCAGCAGCCTGTGAAGATGGTATCTGCACACACAGTGAAGCTGCGCTCAATAATAGCTGTCATCTTGAATGTGTTTAATCCAGCGATTGTCTGAAGTTCGACGAAACCCTACACCATACTGACAGGCTCCCTTGCCCGGTTTTTGGACAGCGCCGAAAGCCAGATGTCTACTGCGAGGGTGTCGACTATTCCAATTCGCCGCATAAACACGTGGATTCCGTGCTGAGGGCAGGTTCGGAGTGTAGTGATCGCTACGAGCTCGTCTTTGTTCTCCGTGACGGGTATCCAACACCGAAGGTACTTGCAAATATTCTTCGGCATGAACACCAAGCTATAGAGGTACGGAGCTTCGGATGGGTGGATGAAGGAGGGAATTGGGTGGAGGAGTTTGAAATCCCAAGAAATGATCCTAGCAGTTAACACTTCATTATCCACAGACTCCATGCTGTTTTATGGGGATTCGCAGCCTTTGACGAGAGCAACAGAGTGGTTACTGAACACCGCCCTTCAAAACCCAGTTCACGAGAGGACCACCCGAGTGGCATAGTCTACAACAATCCAGCCAGGTCCTGCCCTGACTGAGTCAGCCATCCTGAGTGGTTAATGTACCCTTATCTTCATGGCGGGTTACATATTTTTTCTTACAGGCCTGTCATTGCCTCACATCTGTCTCTGTCTGTCTGCCTCGCTCTGGAAATGTGTCTTGGCTAAGGGAGACCTACTTATTCACGTCCCCCTCTACCCCCTGTCAAGGGCTGCTTTGTTTAAAGCCAGCAAAGGAGATAAAGCTCCTTGGAGGACCAGGCTTTCCAGACTCCAGTTAGTCTATATATAAGGATCGTAACACAACTGCTTTCTTCCACGGGTATCTAACACTGGGATCCGGGAACCTGGCAAAAGCAGAGGATGGTTGCTGAGACCAATGCCGTCGCTGGCAGAAATCAGGGAGGATGAGTGGGCAAGCATGGCTACACCGTTTCAGACACTTTGGCCATTTTCAGTAATAAGCTACGCCCCCCCCCCCCCCCCCCCCACATGACCGTGTCCAGACGCATGTCGCATTTCTTCACGTCGTGACTTCGAAGGCGACAGAAAGACAGAAAAAAGGGAGGCGAAAGAAAAGTTTAATCCCAGGAACACTGACCCAGAAAAAGGCAGACGCAAGTGTAAAGCGGAGGAATGCAGAGCAGCTGGGCAAGCGTTCACTGGATTCTGCTGCATTTGTACTTAAAGGGCGGAGGTGGGTGGGGGGGGGCTCGAAACAGAACCAAATTGAAGGATGAGCTATAACCGGCGCTCACAAAAAACCCGGCCACTGCAAACCGCACGTCCCCTGTGCCACGGCCAGCCGTGTTCGCACGCCGAGAGCGGCAGCGGGCGCCAGCTAACGAGATGTTTAATTACGATGGGTCGGTGCGGGGCGGCCATGCCGTCTGCTGCGCTTCCTCGCCCCGGCCCACGCCCCCTAGCTCCCGGCCCGCCGTGTCGGCCCACACCGCCGTCACGCAAGAGGGCACGCAACGGGCAGCTTCCCTGGGCCTGCTCAGGAAGTCGGTACCGCCTTCCCTTTCAAACTGGGCCCTGGTTTGAGAAACTCCAGCTGACAAATGCCAAGTCTCTGTAATAAAGCTAAATTGGATTTTGCGCCGCTGCAGACTGGCACTCACTTCTATACAATAACGTGCCTTAAAAAAAAAAAACATCTTTTGGTTCACGTAAAGTCCAGAGCCGTGCCCAGCTAGTGAGAGCCCGACAGCTATGAGGCACTGGCTATCATCACCGCTAACCCCTTATGACTGCGAGCTCCATTTTCCTATGGAGAACATTCATTAAGTTTGAATGAAAAGTATTGATTTTCTTGCACCTATGACCTTTCCACAGAGTGTTTTTGAAATTATGCTCATTGAGGCCTCACAGTTTTGCTCTTAAAAAGAGGGGGCCGCATGCTCTGAAAACCAGACCCCCCCCGCCCCCCACTTAAGCATATGCTAGTATGTTGAAGAACATACTAGCAGCACTGAGCTCCTGACAAGGAATCGACATGGTCAGCTTGGTGCAGCTGCAGCAGCTGCTTATGTTGGACCTACATTTACCATTTAGCCAACGCGAAGTACATTTTTCAAAAATCAGGGCCAGTCGTCTGGCGCGTTCGGCGGTGACATCACTAAGTCAACCGTCAGATTCAAGCCGGCGACCTTCTGATCACAGACCACTAACGCACCGAGCCACATACCACCACCATGAAAGCGGCGTCATCCATCCTCCAAGCTTCTGCGGCACTTCGAAAGAGACCAGAGGAAGGGTGCAGTCAGGGTGCCGTTTCGGTTCAATGGAGAATGATGAACACCACCCCCAGAGAGCAATGCACCACCACAAACAGGTGGGCTCAACTCTAGTGGTCTGGCTACAAACCATTTCCTTTGAAAGCGAAAAAAGCCATCCAGGAATACAGAAATTACCTCATTAGTGTTGTTTTTGTTGGGCAGACCACACATACACACAAACACACACACACACATGCCGCAAACACAAGCATGCACGCCCATGAATGCAGGCATGAGCTTTACACACTCACACAGCCGGTCGTACGTAAGCATGGCAGGAAAATCCGACACATATACGATTTCCCCTTGGCCCCCCCGCCCCCCGATCCAGGCCCCCCTGTGCCCGCCTTCGTCTCCAGCTCTTATTTAGGAGCGAGCGTCTGAAATGAGAGTCCTAGCGGCCCCTGCACACCGGCTCTGCGGAGCTTTGAGTCCGGGCCAGGCATTCCTGAGAGCGGCCCGGAGCGGCCGAGCCGGACCGCGGTAGCCAGTGAGCGATTCCAGAATAGCTGTACCGGAACTAAAAATAGGAGGGTAAAGAGGGGAGGGCAGCGGGGGCTTGGGTCCGGGGGTATCATAAAGAAGCACCCCGCTGTTAAAAACTGAGCTGCCACAGCCCCGTAAAGCAATTCCTCGTCGCTTCTCTCCTGTCCAGCAGCTGCGCCGGTCCAGTGCCGGTTTAATGTTTACTTTTCCTGCTCTGAATGGACAGATCGACTTTCACTTCCCGTTCAGCCACGAATGTGGAATATCCTGCCTGCCACTGCGGCCAAACTCGGCAGAAACTCCTGACTGGCCCTATTCCCTCCATCTGCGCGCTCTGAGCGTGGAGACCCTCCATCCCGCTCAGCTCCATACGAAACACGGACTGACTCCTTCCCGGCGGGGTGTCCGTTCCCTACACTGCTCACGTTGCCCTTTTTTGTTCTTAATTCTTCCAAAATAAAAAGTTGGGAAAAAGGGGGGGGGGGGGAGGGGTTGCCTTTTGAAGTGAGCCTCAAAGCTTTCGGAAATGTGTTCCTGATATACGCTGCGCGTCAGCAGCATTTGCCTCGGTCATCTCAAAGAGCGGTGGCTGGGTCCAAGCTGCAGGGGTGCGATCTACACAGAGAAAACCCAGAGTGCATTTTCTCTGTCATGGAAATACTTTTAAAAATACATTTCTGCATCTAGTCGCAGTAGGAGAGGCTAAGGAAACATTTTATGTATTTAGCTCATCGGAAGGAAGGGAACAGCAGGAGACCAGCAGGATTCACTTTAATCACACAGAAAATGTGAAAAAACACAGGAGTCGGAGGAAAAATTATCAGTTTATTTGAATCAGTACTAGTGGCATCGTCAGGGTGGAAAGACAGGGGTGAGCAGGCTCTCATTCCACGATTTCCAGCGAAGAACCCAGGGAACAGAAGGACAATACATCCTAATCACTGTACAGTTACACAATGATCAAGGCTATTGCAGCACCGTATCATAACTGGCTGACGAGTAGACCGAGGCTATTACAACACAAGTAAAGCACTGCCTATCATGATGACCCCTGTCGATTCTGCCACTTCCCTCCACATGGCCTTGAGTTGTAGCATGGACAGAGTAGCTATATGCCATGTTAAATGGCTTTACCATCTATAAATTAAAATAAAAAACATACAAAACAATGATAATAATTCTGATTATTATACCTAAACATGATCATACTGATAGCAAAGGAATTATTCAGAAAGCACCTTAGCAGTCCAGGTTTACAAATTATTACCAAAAATAATAATCATGTCATTAACGACAATAGTAATGAACCGTAACAAAAAAAAAAGCATACTTAAATATCATATTATTACTATTGTTACCATAGCAATATCCAGTCAAGTTCTCCTAATATTACACTTCCTCCTACAGAACATGCACCTGTTATATCCAGTATGGCAGAAAGCAAGTTAGCGTGATTTTTCCCTCTCTGTACTAGGCACTGTCATGCGTCGTAGTCACCTGATAGCGAGAGCTCCTTGTATGTGGTACTTTAACCATTAAGGTCACATGACACCAGGCCAAGAGATGAGGCTGGTGGGTGTTGGCTCGGGGGTCATGTGTTGGGCCCCTCCCATCCTAGTTGGCTCCACCCACAACTGCAGACACCACCCTCATGCTGGAATAAAATGTATTCTTGGCCAGCAGCTAAAATCAGGAACTAACTCGGTTTCTGTCATAAAAAATAAAGCAATATAAAGTATCTATATTTTGTAGAATCAAAAACAAAAGCGCTATTAATCAAAATACTAACATAGTATAATTTCATCACTGTAAATCCAGTTAAACAACAACAATAATGTCAATAACAATACAAAACCAAATGCAGGTCACCTTGAGTGTGTCTTTTTTTGACCCAAGACCTTGCTACACACTGAACTGTACAAACGTTCAGTGTGGCACTGCTCCTTTGGGCTGCGTCTATGGGAACGGCATTGCAGATCGCCCTGGCAACTGATTAAAGGACGCGGCTGGAAAAGGCGCTGTAGCTCCCCAACTTGTGAAGCATCCCCACTAGGACCACCGTCGCTGGGGCACCAGCCCACACTACGCACCACCCCTGGAAGGAACCCTATTGGGCGTGGCCTTCTCCCAGCATCGCTCAGTTGATCTAAGTGCTCCACCAGTGGCCGCCGATTGGCTGGGACTCTGTGACGGCCCCCATTTTCCGACTCCTATGAAGTTGGTCCACAAGCTCTTCGGCTCAGATGCACAATCTTCTTCTGAGAGAGCCCATGAAAACAGGGGTGGGGGGTCTAAAAGCAGTACATTCTTGCTCTTTGGTGTATTTCAGCACAAAACACAACCTCTCAGCTGCAGCTGTCTCTTCCTGGTTTCCTGTGATTAGCTCCCTCCATTAAAGCTCTTCTCCTTCTTTGGCTTCTAAAACAAGACTTTCCACACTCCTTCAGCTTATCACGCTCATGCTCCATCTTCCTACTTACATCCTACATGGCTTTTCCTCATCACCTCTCATTCCTCTTCTAGGGGAGAGGGGTCAGAGGTCAACACATCACCAATTCTCCACATTCCTCGACTAATCTACGTCTCTGACTCTATCTCTCATTTTACACCTTCCTCTGTCTTTCTTCAGAATAAAAAAAAAAAACACTATCTATGTCACTATCTCACGTGCTCATAAAACGAGTACACACACGACAAAGCTCGACAGCGGCCAGGAATTTAAATCTCTGGCAAGAGAGGAACCTCCATCTGTGTCTAACGTTACAACATCACAGCCACCAGTGCAAATGTGTCTTGGCCTACAATCATGTCTATAATTGTTTCTATGGCCCGCTAAGTAATCAGCGGAATATTTCCCTCTCAGAGTAAACAGTAACCCTAGACAATGAAAACAAGATCTGAGAATGTTTCTTTCTCACTCTCCCTTTTGAAAGGGGATTAAACACCAGAGAAGCATCTCTGAATGGCCACTCCCCATAAGAAAAAGAGTTTAAGGGGAGATGGGGTTTATATTTGTCTTAAAGTATTTAATTGTGGAATCTCAGGAGGGATCCAGAGGACAATCTAGTTTGACTGGTGCTTTCCAGTCAACTGCAAGGCCATCACCACGAGACCCAACTGGGCCATGGGAGACCCCGTGATTCCATGTCGGGGTGACTGGCCCAGTTTCATCTCCCATGATGCTCCACACTGATGAAGGGGGACGGGGTAGCATTTTAGCAGATCTTTTTAGGTCCTGGGTGTCAACATTCATCAAGAAGACCACACTCAGTGACTGACTAACCGGGTATCAATCTCCACTTTTAGGAAATGACATACACAATCAAGATATGGATTTAAAAGGCACTTCCTACAGAGGTCATACACATTCCTCATGCCATACCTAAGTCTGTAAATACTGGACATGCATGCCCTGCTCAAGTCAGATGTAGCCTCACATTTTACATGTGAAGGTTTTTTTTTTGTCATATATAAGGTAGGCGGATCGAGTTACACGATAATCATATATGTCAGCTCCACATGGGGATTGGAGATACTGGGTGAGCAAATACCAGTTTTGTCGTGTCACCTTTTCTGGGAGAAGAAACAATAAATAGTGAGGAAGCAGGACCCTGGTTTGTAGGGACGGCGAGAAATGCCGCTCTGGGTGAGTTTTAAGGTGCTTCTGTAAACCCAGACTGGCGACCCGTAACTAGCGACGGGTTGGAGAGCCAGGGCGCCAGCCGCTTAACGACACGCCCTCTATACAATATGTAAACATTTGGACACAACAAGAGGCAAGGGGCGGGGCACGACACGAAAGAGTCACACGCGAGTGCGGCCACATGCCCTGGAGATGACCACCGGGAGGGACACAGGCGGGGGCGCGGAGGGTGAGTGCGTGAGTGTGAGACTCCGGGTTCCTCTGAAGTGTGGTTTCCGCATATCTCTGGGTTTCTATGTCTGTGCCTGTGTGTTTCTCTATGTGTACGAGCCGTATCCTGTGCAGGGTGGCCTTCACTCTGATACGGCAGCCCTCAGCTGCCACATGGACTATCCCAGGTACTCACTGGTCGTCTATATCTCGCGCACACCCACCCACACATACACTGTCCCCCGTGTCCCCAGTCTTGCTTCTCCCTAGATCAAGCTGCTGCTGATGTCTAGCGCCTGCTGGTACACCTGAGTCATGTCGTCCAGGTCGCCCAGCAAGGAGAAGCTGCCGTTGTCGCCCGGGGAGCCCTGCCCCCCCCGGCTCAGCTTGCCCCCGTGGAGTCCCGACACCGCCTGGAGGCCCCTGAAGCCAGCCAGCTGGAGCAGGTTCTCCGCAGAGACGCACACCCTGATGTTGGGCCGGGTGGAGGCAGGCGGCCAGTCGACCCTGCTGAAGGTGGAGCCGGTCAGGCCGCTGTCTTCAGCTACGATGCTGGAAGGGCGACTCTGGCTGCGGGAGAGGCCCGAGTCGCCGGGCGGGGGCTCCCCGGAGAGGGCAGCAGGGGGCGGGCCGCTGTAGGTGGAGTACTTCCCGTTCCGCTTGAGGATACCCTTCCTGCCGGCAAGCCGCTTTGGTTGTGAGCCCGTGGACAAGGTCAGCATGGCGCCCCCCAGCAGCTCGGCAGACTCACTGCGCTCGGGGGATGAGTAGTACCCTGATTCCCGTTGCTGACTGTTCTTCAGAATGCCTTTCTTGGGGAGGGTGGGTGCCATTTTGGTGGGTGAACCTTCGGACGGGGTGGGTTCCTCTCCCTCCTCTTCCTCCTCGTCCTCCTCCTCGCGCTCGGGACTGGAGCATACCTCTGCTCCCTGCTGGAGTAGCCCGGCCCCCAGCTGCACCTCCCCCAAACTGCTGGAACGCTGCTCGCCAAGTGGTCGGGTCTTCAGGATGCCCTTGGGTCTCTTCAAACCAGGTTTATCATCCCCATCACAAGAGGGCGCCGACCCATCCTTCTTGGACTTCTTGGAGCGCTGGTGAGCGAAGGGCGGCGGGTCGGGCCGCGGTGCCCTGGCGGACCGGGGCTCGCTGCGGCTCTGCCAGTCCAGTAGGCGAGCTAGCATGGGTGAGCCGGCGTCCCGTTGAGCCTCACAGTCGCACACGCTGTTCCTCCAGCCCCAGTTGACCCACCAGTGGTTGGCGATGTCCTCCACTGTGGCCCGCCGTTCTGGGTTCACCATCAGCATCCAGCGGATCAGCCCGCGGGCGTCTGCGGGGAGCAGCAAAGCCCAGATGACATCCTGCACCTTTCCTGTACTACACAGCTTTACTGCTCTGATTTTTGGCTGAGAAACTGAAACACCCACAGATACCCAGGGGTGCCAAAAATGGGGGGGGGGGTGCGAAGGGACCCTAAATAATTAGGAACATAATATGATTGGTCTTGGTTGGTGGCCCAATACAATATGCTTTCATGGGGCCCAAAATATCTAACGTTTCTTTTCGTTTGCCCCATCTTGCTCTCCATGACCCAGATGTAAGTGAGCGCGAGCTTGATAGTGAAGGGCAGCCACCTGCAGCGGCACCCATGGAGCTGGGGGTTAGGGGGCTGGATCAAGGCCTCAAAACTACAACCATCCAGTCACAGGCACAGAGGTTTATCCCACTTGCCACATGCCGCTCCCAAAACAAAATGAAACCATAGCTCCACTTGGTTTTGAACCAAGAACCTTTGTTAGACGAATGTGATAACCACTACACTATGGAAACCAAAGCCTGCTCCTAACAATAACTATTCATATGAGCATATGCATATTTAGAGTTGCTTAAGCACATACATACTACACATTACATACTACACAAGTATTACAAGCGCCTGTTCGCTTCCAGGTCACTTTTCATGACCTCTGTAATACCTACTGCTTGCTTCATTTGAGTTTTTTTACAGATGGTCTTACAAAGAGAACATGCCAGAATCAAAATCAGAACAAGTCTGAACAGATTTAAATGAGCTGGGAGAGACAGGAAAAGCAGACGGTCTGCGGCATGTGGGGGCAGGGACGGCAAAAGAATTCTGCCGATTTCCATCTGCGGCCTGCTGATTAGATAGTGAGGTAGACTTCAGGCCTGCTTCCTGGGGGGAAGCCCACACCGTGCCCACCGCTTCCATGACCCAAGGCCTTCCCACAAGTTTCTTATTTAGGACACAAAGTTTTGTTTTTTGTCTGCTTTTTGTCTACTGGGCATTAACTGTTTGGTATCTTCACAAGGTGTTTTACTTTATGATGAATTTCTTCACCTCCAGATAAAGGTTCATCTTAAGAGCTGATGTTTTCCCCAAAATATATTATAATTTTGTATGAGTAGCTTGACACAAAAAATACTGATTTAAATTAAACCCAATGAAGAAACCAGTAAAACGCCTGGAAAGTGAATAAAAAGTACCAGTTCTACTTAAAAAAGCACAACAAATTCACTGCTAGGGGTTATCACTGACTGGGAGGTCTTGGTTCTCAGCTTCTCAAAGTGTAATTAAAGATAGGACTCAGTGTTTTTAACCCTGTGCTTCGGGTTCTTAAAGCTGTAGCCCTCTGTACCCTCGGTTTCCGATGGGGAGCCAGGCGTATACGTGTCTAGCTGTTAGTTTTGGCAGTACGGCTCACCTGACGACTGGGTGGGTTCTCGATACTCGCCGTTGCTGATCTGGCGGATGAGGGTCTTGTGATTGCCTCCATCGAATGGCATGGTCCCATAGACGAGGGTGTACAGCAGTACTCCCAAAGCCCAACTGTCAACCTGAAAAGACAGCGAACGTTGTGTTACCTGAAGTCCATCTCTGCTGGGTTCTATTTTGTTCGTTGTTTCTCTCAATGGACTGAAACGTCGAATCACCCTGCTCTTGTTGACATTTTATATTCGATTTTACTGTAAGGCAGTTGTCAGAATCAACATCTCGACTGACTTTGCTGTTGCTGTCTAGCCACCTGTAATTCATGAACTGTTCCACAGGGGGTGCTCTACCTTTGTCAGTCGCTTGGTAGTCGCATACCGACGTCGCCAGATTATTCGCTATGCTACAGGTGAGCAAACCCCCCACCCCCCACCTCGCTGGGCTGAGATTGTGTGAACGGCTTTTAGACAGACTGTTCACAGTGGGAGTTTCCTTGATTTGTTGGCTTGCACGGGAATTACCAGGAAGCGGCTGCATTTTCTCCTCACTCCTGGCCTTATCTGCAATTCGGGGCTTTTCCCACTAGCCCCGCAGTAAATCATGGTAAATTAATTCAATATTTCCTGATTTGCTCTGTGACAGATTAACTTGGAAAACGACATAATCTGGAAATGTCTATGGAACATGTATAGTCATTGGGAATTTATTATGACTAATATACGGATCTATAAATCATTTCTTTGACCTTCCAGGTGGACATTCTCATTTGGTTGAGCTGTCAGACAAGAGCAACTCACTCTCATCTCTCAGCTACCAGACATCAACAACTTTGACAGCAACGTGAACAGCAGGGGAAGACAGTGGTATTAGTCACTGGCATCACCACAGGTCTGCACTGGTACCTCTGGGCCATGGTACGGTCTCCCGTTGACTATCTCGGGCGATGCGTAGAGCGGGCTGCCGCAGAAGGTCTGCAGGAGCTTGTCTTTGTGGTAGAGGTTGGAAAGGCCAAAGTCAGCAATCTACACAAGAGTGAGCAACGGAAAAAGGGACAAATTCTCAGTGACCTCTCAGCTCCATGAAAGACATTAATACTCAGAACGCCCCCCCCCCCCCAGCACGTTAGCACATAATTCTCATCCTGCCAACATCTCCTGATCCCAGCCCATCCTGTTGGGCACACATCCTGTTCCTGAGTGTCTACTGCCTGTCCCCCTCTTGGGGTTTTTTCATATGACCCGTATCGCCCTCTCCCAGCAATCCCCCCCCCCCCAATATTTCCTGCTGGTTGACAGTCGGGGACACTGACACGGATGATCTGTGTTGCCAAAATCATCCTCAGGAGCGCAGCGTTTCAGCCGAGAGACTCGCAACCACACACGCCTCAGAATGTGGTCTTACCTTTATATTACAGTTTTCATCCAGTAGCACATTTTCCAGTTTCAAGTCCCTGTGCACCACCCCATTCTGGAAGGAACCAAAACAGACTTAGCAGTTGGATATGATGTGCAGGATGTTAACAGGCCAGATGACTTCCACCAAAGGAAACCGGTGCTAGGTATTGGCCGAACAAATCTCAGGGAGAAGGAAGGACATCACCGAGCAGGCAGTGAAGTTCTACGAATCTGTATTTCATTTTCGGAAAACAGACCGCATGCATCTCTATGATGTCATCAGTGAGGGCTCTTGATTTACCCACAAGTGTGTCACATAAACCAAGTCTTTTTAATTGAATCCAAAAATGAACAATGTTTTCCCAACAGATGCAGGTTGTGAAAGTCATTAGCATGTGGGCTATAAGATCGGGCTTTGGATGAAGAAACCCCAACGACCGCAGGCCTGCACAGCATGTTTTTAGTCAGCTTTTTGTATGCACGGTGCCTCATAAACACTACGTCCTCCCTTTAGCCGCTCGTGGTAACTCCCCAAGCCCTGGTATGTAGGCTGTGCTGGATGGATCAATGACATCACCCACTCCCCAGCTGGGAGGACCTGGGCCGGCCCAATTCGCCCTGGGGATCCGGGTGTTTCCAGAAACTGATTTAGTCACAAGGCAGCCGGGATTTGATAGCTTGTGAGAAAGATCTGTTTGCCCTTTGACAGTGAGATGCAGTTCGTCCACTGCTCCTTAGTGTGGGGGCAGCTGGCACGTCACACTGTACGCAATTTTGACCTGTTTTGCTTCTCGTTGCCTAGAGTTAGCCATGCGTAACTAGCAAAGCCCCTCACATTTCGCAGTGTCGTCATGTCGGTGGTTTAATATGAACCTGTTGGAAATCGGCAGCCCATTGCTCCGTTCGGCTCTGGGATTCGCACCTGGGTACAGTGGTCACCTCACCTTGTGACAGTGATGAACCGCGGAGACGATCTGCCGGAAGAAGTGTCGGGTCTCCCTCTCGCTCAGACGGCGCCGCTCGCTGATGTAGTCGTACAGCTCACCCTTGCTGGCGTACTCCATCACGATCACTATCTTGTCCTTGTTTTCAAACACTGCAGAGGGAGCAGAAGGGGGCCGACAGGTCAGCTGCAGCCAGTGAGGCGAAAGGGAGTCCAGCTTGACGTTTCTGGAACCTCAAGGATGGGCAGAGATTGTTCCTGATTGTTTCGCTGCATCTAAATTAGTGTGTCTAACTCAGAGATTTGGATGCTCCATAGTACAGAAGCTGATGTGTCATGCACCCACCCCAAGCAGCAGGACCGTTGGCGTCGCTTGTGATGTATGACGGCACGAGGCACAGTTGGCCAGATGGTCATTCTGTCGCACGTCCCTCAGGCTGCCGTGAGGCAACTTCACTCATCCCACTCAAACCTCAACACCTCATGGGTCACATGCAGCTTACAGTCTGGCCCACGTCAGACTACAGGCCCAGTCACACTTCCTGTACTGATAAGACTAAACCACCCAACTACAAATTCCTTTTGTGCTTTATATAATTAGATCTGATGTCAGTGAATCAGCATGTGCATCACTAATGCCTGAGCGTGGACTACCTAGAGCCGACCTTCCAAACGTCAGAACAGAGTTTGCTTTGTGGTTCCAACCAAGGCACCAACCCTTCCTCTCCAGAAGCGACTTCCCCGGAGTCACTAGGGGTTTGGGCTGAGGCAGATTCCCAGCAACTAAGCCGCAGACGAGTCCCAGCAAGTCGGTCCTTTGCGTGGGCAGGTGGTCTCGACCGTGACCTGCCCTGCTGCTGATGCAATATTACCTAGCTAACGCAATGCATGCCAGGTACTGCTGTAAGTACAGACTGTTTTGTTACTTTCCCATTTGTTTTCAGAGATCGGCTCCAGATCACTATAATTAGGACGCGGATGCCGTGCCCGCTGATCCTGGGTCAGCCTCGCTGCTCCGGGCCTCACGCTTGTTCATTCCCTCTGAGCTTTTAAGTGGAAAGTATTTCTGTGCAAGCATGTTAAATCGATTGGCCTGGGCTAGTACCAGTTGGGCCACAGTTATTTCAGCTTGGTCTTAGTATGTCTCTTTATGCAGTTTTTTTGCCTTAAGTTTAACCCGAGTCAGGCCTGAATTCTTTCCCTTCACTTATAACACTTTTACAGCAAGATTACATTTTGGCTTTTCATTCGGCAGTTTCGTTCTGAACAAAGGGTTCTGGGGCTGGGTTATGAGGCTAAGAATTACCCTTCAAGTGACAGACAGTCCACTTAAAACACTTGTGACACGCAGAATCAACACAGACCGAAAACAGGAAGAAAATGTTTATGCATCTGTTTCTGTTTCCCCACGAAAAAGAAAGAAGAAAATAACTAATAAGAGTGTTGACAGAAGCACATATCGGACTTTATGGAGTCCACCCCACAACACAAGCCACTGGAGATTCAGGAGAGAAAAAAAATGCTGACTCAGAAGATGGCAGACAGAATGGTCTCCAAAGCCTCATTTAAAAGGGGAGTTCCCTAATCCCACTCTGAAAAACATACACGAATGGCTGTGTTATAATTGAGCCACGAAACCCGGTGGAAGGCAACTGTTCTCGATGACCGCTTAGAGGTATAGACTGCAGCTCTGAGCGCTCAAGCTCTGCCTTTCTAAGTCCAGGTTAAATGATAGCGATGGCTGGAGAGGAGGAGACCACCACCCCCACCCCCCCAACAGCAAGCCGGCCAACACATGGTACATCAGAGGAATGTGCCGGCTTGCAGGTCCACATAGAGGTCTTACATCATCAGTGGAATCAATGCGCCGGGAGGTGGCTCCGAATACAGGCTTGGAGAGGGGGGGCAGTGTGTGTGTTTGTGGGGGGGGTCAGAGAGTGTGATTCCCGGCTGGGCTGCTGTAAATGTCAACACATGTCTGGCTGGGAGATCAAGACGAGGCCGAGATGAAGAAGAGACCCCTTTGATGTGTGGACCCCCCCCCCCATCCACCCAACCTCCCCACCAAACGGAGCCAAAACGCAGACTCAAACACACGCCACACAGTCACGCACGGAGTGAGGAGACGCGTGGACTCGCCTTAACCAACAGCTCTATTTAAAAAACGTTCAAATGCTCTATAAACATACACACACCCTACTTAAAATGAACGTGCCCTTAAAAACTGCCAAATATAACTTCGACACTTTCCATGCACTCCCCAAGGCACAAAACTTAGGAAAACATACATATGTGCTAAATATTTATACGTAGCCTATTAATTTAGCTTTGTGATGTTTTATCATAAGTGCGACAGAAATTTGTACAGCATAAAGGTAGAACATCTGGATGAAGTTAGGGGTGGTCTTTCTCATAGGCAGACTGACCTTCATAGATGGAGATGATGTGAGGGTGTCTGAGGGAGGACATGATTTCAATCTCACGGCGGATGTGCACCATGTCCTGCTCATCCTTGATCCGGTCTTTACGGATGGATTTGATGGCCACCTGGGAGGAAAAGATAGGAGGAATCATGACTGCATGCGTCTGCACACAGCCAGACAACCGGAAATCCACGCTGGTCCTCTACCGTTGACTATCAGCATAGTATTATATAAGGATCCTGTCACACTTATGTGATCTTTAACAGCTTTGGGGTGCATTTTTTGAGGAAAAGCAGAGAAACAGACATGAACCAAAGGGCTAGAATCTTCTTCCCAAGCATGTTCACATGGGTCTGAGATGAGCCAGCACACAGCAATCCAGACTAATGATCTTGTTTGGTGTCATCTCCCCAAGCGTGCCACATACAGCCACGCCAATAATAAAAAGACCGGGGGAGGGTACGCAGCGTCCTAGCAGATGACCTCACCATATTATTACCTAAGCTTTACAGGTAGCGAGAGGCAGGTGAACCTTTGTTGGAGCTGCTGTCAACGCCCTGATCCTAGTGTAATAGGTAGATCGGGTACTGCATCAGGGGTATGGCTGCCAGACGTGTCGCTGTAATGAATACCCGGATGAGTGTACCGGTACTGTGCCGAGTCTACTCCCACGAAGCCGTCTTTGTCCGCAGATAACCCAACAGGGCGCCAAACTCATCTGGAAGTGTCAACACAGCGACGTCATGCAGCTCATTTTACTGCGGTCTTAAAGCCGCCTGACAGATTTAGTATGATGCTCGAAGCAGAAAGTAGGACTATTAGTGTTATTATTCTTGCTTTCTCTGCTGCTAATTCCAAAGTTCGGGCGGTAGCTATGATAAATGCAGTATTAGCTATTGGGCAGTGCTCTGGATTCTAATTCCAGACCAAAAATCTGCTCTTCAGAGCCAGTGACTCCCAATAAAAGCGCCACATTCATCATTCAGTCTAACCACAGACTACTGACTCCCCCATCCCACAAATGTCTGTTGTGACGTAAGCAGACTAACCACGGTACCCATGGTTGGACCTCATACCAACCCCATGCTAACCATGCTTACGGAGATGTGAGCTTAGTCAAGAAGAGCACAAGATTTCAGCGGAATAATTTCACCCAGTTCTGGGTGTTCAGAATAAATATGAAGAAAGTCACCTAGTGCAGATGGGAAATGTGCATGATGTCTCTTAATCACCTGACATGGACAAGAATTATTTAGAATACCGATGTATCACGTCACCCCGTGCATGCGAGAAGTGTTCCGGATGCCTGGATATCAAGTCACCCTACATGGACGAGAAGTGTTTAACATGGCTGTGGAGTGAGTTTGTCAGTCTGGCAGGTTATAGCACTCATACCCTGCATGTCTATCATACACAGTAGTCAAATTGAGGAAATCACAACCATAAAACTGTTTTAAGAGCAAAAGAAGGCTTTCCACCTTGAAAACCTTGACGGTGAATTTGCAACTAGAAGAGAGATCCTTGTTTCATGATATTCAGGGATCTATGGTATCCAGAAAGGATATTCTGAGTTCTGAGATAACCAGAAGTGAGTCTTTTAGCTTGAGTCACAGGGTTTCTTTATTTTTTACAAAAGTGTACATTGTCTTATTAAGTTGGTTTTTATTTAATCACATGTCATAGCTCCAACGTAGCCCATTCAGTCTAACAGCTGTACGTCCAATTACCACACTCACCCAAACTCAACCCAAACCCTCGAGGGTCCGTGCACAGACAAACTACAAAAGCCCAACGTACAAAGACACACAGCGGCTCAGGCCTAATCATTTATAGATGAGCCTCTGGAACTAATTTGAGAAGCTAGACAAAGAGAGAGAGAGAGAGAGAACGAGAGAGGAAATAAGGAAGGAGATTAACAATAGACACAAACAAGATGACAAGGGGTAAAGGTAAAAGGGTGCTGTAAATAATTCAAGCTCTTCTAGATGACAAAAAAAAGCAGGGAGAGATGACAGATTGGATAGGAGGGAATGAGACCAGTAAAGAGTCAGTGAAGTGCAGACACACAAAGTCAATGCTCCTGACATGTGCTTTATGGATCAAGTTCCCAGAGGTTGGAATGGTATGAACCAACAGTACAGAACTAGACTAATGACCAAGAGGTTGCAGTCCCAGCCACTAGGATAACTGTGAACTCAGGGTGAGGATTATGTGATTCCTGCACACAACTACTGTTGTGGCTACTGCAGGGTCCCCCTGGTCCCCATGTGGGCAGTGGTGTCTTAATGGTCAGTGAAGCACGCTTGTAATTATAAGATTGCTGGTTCAAATCCCTGACCAGCAAGGCACCACTGAGGTACCCTGAGAAAGGTACCGCCCCCAAGCACTGCTCCCCAGGCACTGAATTAGCTGCCCCCTGCTATGTCATGATGTCACATATGGGTTCAATTCAGAAGACACATTTCATTGTTGTGCACTGTGTGCTGTGGTGTGTCAACAATGACCACTGATCACCTAATTCGAAATTCTACTGACCTTCCAGAATCATCAGACGCCCTGATGCTTGAACCATGCGCCAGTTGGCACGAGCCCCCAGCCGTAACTTCTGCCATTAAGCAGAGTGGCCACCGCTGTCAGACACACAAAGAGCTGCTTTGTCTACCTCTCTTCCCAGGTGTGGTTTTACATGTGGGCTGTTGGAGACAAAAGGCCGGACGTGCCTCCACAGGGGCCCAACGTGCTCCACAGGGGCCCAACGTGCTCCACCTGTTCTCAGGTCACTCCAAAATTGGATCATGAAAGACCCAAGCAGACAAGAGTGTAGGTTTGGTTTTAACATTCGTAGGGAGCAAATCGGCCCGAAACCCCCCTCTCCTACAAACACATATGGTACCTCCCGGACTACTGACAGGGACACGCCCCTACCATCCACACCCAAATCTACACCCAGAAGGCAGGTCCCTCATCACTCACATCACGCAATTTGCATGTGCTAAGCAAATAACTAGACTCTCTGCTGCACCTTTAAATGATGTCATGTCTCTATTAATACTTTTACTATAGACTTCATCTTCCACACATGTGTTGACTAGAAGGAGGAGTGTGAGCTCTTAGATATCTGAGGAGATGATCTGGGTAACGAATTCATTAAATGAAAAGAGGAGTAGTACGCATCTCTGGTCACATCAGTCTTTTGTGTTATAGGTCAAACACCTCCCTTTTCATATGTTGGGTCATGAATGATATAGTGATGTGAACTCATTATCTCATCATAAAATATTGCCCCCCTCCAA